CTATTCTCTAGTGCATAGAAAGTACCTGCTAGGTAACAACCAGACGTTTACCAGTCAGTCCATAATTTGGCCCTAATGCTAATAAAATAAATAAATAACACATTCACTCAAGAAAAATTTCCATGTCAATGTTGGGAATGGACTAAGAAATAAAAGAACTTGTTAATTATCGATATTCAATACAGGGTGTCCCAAAAAGATACCGACAAACTTTGAGGGGTAGTAGGGGACATCAAAATAAGCATTTTTGTTTATATAAACATATGTCCGCAATGAGCCATTTGGGCTGTAGAGCAAAAAAACTGTTTGGTACCTAGTTTTATTTTTCGCAATAATTAAATTACTGTTTACTTATTAATTTTGCTTTATTAACAAATAAATTATGGTTCACAATAATTGTTCAACTCGCGAACTCTTTGGAATATTCCGGGAATAGCTTCTACATGGGTATAACTCGCCAGTATCCTTGCTAACAGATCTTCCTCATTACGAATAGGTGTTTCGTAGACTAAAATTTTCAGTCAATGACCCGACGGTGTAATCTTTGCATTGAAGTAAATGGTCAACATTTTGAAGAATTATTGTAAACCATAATTTATTAGATAATAAAGCAAAATTAATAAGTAAACAGTGATTTAATTATTGCGAAGAATAAAAGTATCAAACAGTTTTTTTGCTCTACAGCCCAAATGGCTCATTTGCGGGCATATGTTTATATAAACAAAAATGCTTGTTTTGATGTCCCCTACTACCCCTTAAAGTTTGTCGGTATCTTTTTGGGACACCCTGTATATTTATTATATCGAACACAGCGTGGAAAGCAGAGCGTGTGAACTCATAGAAATAACTATACGAACTGACTCAACATCAAGACAAAGAATTACAAAACCCTTTCTTAAGTAAACGATTTCTCATCTGTTTACCTTACATATAAAAACTATTATAAACACATTCAGTCATCCATAGCTGCGATATAAATTAGCAAAGTATAGGCTAATAATCAAAGTTTAATTTATTAATATTTGTTTCACTGATATGAATATCAGTTTATCCAACACGCCACCTCAAAAATTTGATCAATTATACTAAAAGTGTAATACAACTTAAACCTAGTATAACATAAATAGGCCCGCTTTCGTTATGTGTGTCTTTTCTGGGGAAAATTACAATAACGGTCCAGCATTTGCTGCTCGGGATTAGGGAAAACCCAGAAAAACCTAATCAAACCATTTAACTTATTTACTAAGCCTAATTCTATTCTAATTTCTCAAATTTCACTTGCATCAATGGTTTGGTAAACATGTCTGCTAGTGGTTTATCTGTGGACAAATTAATATTTTATATTAATTACGATTAAATATGATTTGATCTTTTGTGATTTGTTGGATTATTTGTAATACTTATTGAGGTTCATTGTTGTCCTCCTAGGTCATAATTGACTCTGATATTAATGTTTATGCATATTTTCTGCTAATGATTTTAACCAAAGAGCTTCTGTGGCAGCTTTAAAAAGAAAATCATATATTCGGCTTCAGTAGATGATGCCGCTACTGACAACTGCCTTTTTGTATTCCAACATGTCACACATTTCAAACAGTATAAATAAATATCCTGTTGTGCTTTTTATATTGTTTATATCATGCATCTTCACCTTCTTAGTCAGGATTAATAAAATCACTCAAGAAATTAATATATTCACAACTGAAATATTGTGTCAACTTCACATTGATGTTACCCTTAAGATATCTAAGGACCCTTTTCAAATATTGCCAAAACTCTTTATTATTCTTGTTTTAATACCTGCTCAAAATATTAACAGTGGTCCTTAAATCAGGCTTGATATACATAACATAATATACATTCAACAGACGATTAGATTCCGGCAAGGGCTATCATGTTTTTCTTCTGAATTTAAACCAATCAAATGCAGTTTACTAGGAAGTGGAGTGCTGACACAGCTGATGGCACAACACTCATTCATATTAAATTTATGTAAAATATTTTCATGTACATTTGAACTGTACCTATATGAAAATTGATCAAGAGTAATTTTATTTTTGATTACCTTTTAATTTTAGTAGCCAAAAATAGTTTACGGTCTTTCAAATAGAACATAGAACAGTTATTTGCCAAATACCTTTTGAAACTATTCAATGTATTATTATCTGCAGTGGCAAATACCATCTACAGAACTACATAAATAATTTTACATATTGCACATTTGTCTAAGATATAAATACAGTGGTTAACTGATGAATTTTCAAACCCATTTTATTTATGAACTTTTACTATTATTTCAAACTAATATCTTGTGGTTTGTTTTAGTTCATAGATACAAAGCCTTGCAAACTTGGTTAGGAGGTTTACTTGTCACACCTTGAGCCAGCCACCCTTCAGCCTTCAGGAACCTTCATAAAAATGGCTTCCTTCAATGTCCCATCCGGGAAAGCTGTTTTTACATCTATATGATGTATTAAAAGGGTAAACTGATTAAAAAGGTTATTATAAACCAGAAACCTACGATTCTCGCCACCTGTGCAAAGGTTTCATTATAATCTACCAAGTAATGTTGACTAAAACTACGAGCAGCTAAGTAAGCTTTGTATCTAAATAGTTTTCCAATTTCATCATTTTCAATGGAAAATATCCATTTACAATCCACTATATTTTTATATTCGGGTCTTGATACTAACGACCACGTTTTATTTACCAATAATGAGTGAATCAATATCATTTGGCAAATCTGTTTTAATCACAGATTTACTATACTCATTATTTAGTTTAATGAGTTTATTAGGGTTAACATTTACCTACTTTCCTGGATTGTTATTCATCTGATTCAGCTATATCAGATTTATTAACCAAACCACCGATCTTGACAAACTGCCACTTTCAGGGGAAAGGTTTTATTAGACTATCCAAGATGCTGTCGAACTCAAATTAAAATGTCCGCCAAGAGGCACACAAACCCTTTGTTTGCTTGTCAAAGTTACGTGTTTTGGATAGGCTAATTACCAAAGTGTTACATTCATTTTTGACACTTTTTCAGTTTAGTTCAGTTCAGTTTATTAATAACTACTGATCTTGACAAACAATCAGAGGAAACAGCTTTATCATCAAAGTGTTTCACATTCACTTTTTCATAATCACTATTAACTACTAATATTGACTTACTCGAAACCCTGATTGAAAATCACTGAATAGTTTATTTCTATCTACCTATAAACTCAACAAGTTGCATATACACCATTTTCTCCAAAATTTTGTCAATAGTGCAAAACAAATTTATTGGATGCAATTCACTGGAGGATTTTAATTCAACTACTTTGGGAATCTTGATTATAGTGGAAGCTGAATGAATATCATTTGGCAGATCTGTTTCAACCACAGATTTACTATAATCATTCATTATATAGTTTGTGGGTTAACAGTTAGCTACTTTCTTGGATTGGTTGGTCATCTGATTTTTCTTTATCAGATTTATTAACCAGCGATCTTGGCAAACTGTCAAAGGAATCAGTTTCATCACTAAAGTGTTATGCATTCACTTTTTCAAACTTATCATTAACTAACCGCTGATATTGACAAAGAGTCAGAAAAATTGGCTCTATGACCAGAAAAGTTAAACATTTACTTTTCAAGCTTATCAGTAACTACTGATCTTGACAAACAGTCAGAGAAATCAGCTTTTACAATTAAAGTGTTCTATATTCACTTTTTCAAGCTTGTTAGTAATTACTGTTCTTGACAAATAGTCAGAGGAATCAGCTTTATAATCAAAGTGTTCTACATTCACTTTTTCAAGCTTATTATTACCTACTGGTCTTGACAAATAGTCAGAGGAATCAGCTTTCACAATTAAAGTGTTCTATATTCACTTTTTTCAAGCTTGTTAGTAATTACTGATCTTGACAAATAGTCAGAGGAATCAGCTTTATGACCATAAGTGTTCTGCATTTACTTTTTCAAGCTTATGATTAACTACTGTTCTTGACAAATAGTTGAATCAGCTTTATAATCAAAAGTGTTCTACATTCACTTTTTCAAGCTTATTATTAACTACTGATCTTGACAAATAGTTAGAGGAATCAGCTTTATGCAGATTAAAAGGCTTGGAGGACAAAAACAAATTTGTCATATCTACAATAATATCCTTGACTACAACAAACTTATGACTAACCACATCCCACACTTCATATTCATTCGGTTCATATCCAACCAGTACAGCTTTCCAGGATTTGATATCAAATTTTGTTTTCCTGGTTTTTATGTACCTATAAACGGTATTATGGAACCAAACACTTATGAATATTTTACTTGAGGCTTTTTACTACGCCACATTTCGTATGGTGTTTCAAATTCTTTTAAAGTTTTAGTAGGGGTCAAACTAAGTGAGAATGTGGCAGTTAAAACTGCCTCTGTTATCATCTATGAAACATTGATGGACCCGCTATATTCGGGGCTGGTGATTCATGGGTTGATGGATTATGACAAGACACAGAAAAAAAGAGATAGAATAAACACTGACGAAAAAAAGATCGGGGGACGTAACTCACGAAACAAAGGATGGGACATTGAGTTCGAAGCGGTGGTTGAGAGCGCTCGAGATTTATTAGTTTTTCTACTGAATCAATATTTACATTAGCGGTAACATAATGAGAAATATTTAAATCCGTTTCGGATATAGTTTTAATAGAAATATTTTGTTTAAGTTTTTGAGGAGTTAAGTTTAGTTTAGGAATAATGTCTTTATTAAGCAGGGAACATTCACTTCCAAAGTCAATGAAACATTTGATTGATTTGTTCTCCACTAGGATGTCCTTTAGATACTTTTTCATTGAGTCTCGAAGCGTATTTGATTGTCACAAATGGTTGGTGTTATAAGTTGTCACCTCTCTGGATGTGTTTTTTTTATTGGGACACTGACTTTTAAGGTGACCTTTCTGATTACATAAATAACATCTTCGAGAGAACAAAGAGGATTGTTTATTTCTTTGTACCGTTGTCCCTGACACTCTACTTTGAGATAAAGATGATTTGGTGGTCTCACGCTCGGAACCCAAATCATTTTTCTCTTCAAATACTTTCAAATATCTAGCTAATTTAGCCGGGTTATTGATTTCAGATGTTTCTACAGAAAACTTGATATGCTGGTCCTTAATACCGCCCAAAATCAAATTAACTTTTTCTGCATCTGTTAATGGAATTTTCATTTTATTAATGAGGGATAATTTTTCAAATGACTATTCGTACAAACTTTGACGAGGCTGAGGGACATAATTTAACATGTCGGACATAAGAGAATGCAAATCTATTTTTGGTATAAAATGTTCAATTAACAAATCTTTCCATTCCCTCCACACAAACAATCGCGTTGGTAAACCACGGTACCACGTTTCCGCCGAACCACGAAGTTTACTAAGGGCTAAGTGACAGGTAACTTGATCAGACCATTTGTTGATAATGGCAAATTCATCAACTGCATTAAGCCATTCCATAATATCATGGTTAAGAGGATTAAATTCGCTTATTATATTATTATTTATAACCCCAGAGTTAACGTTGATTTTAGTGACAATTTTATCGATACCTTCTAACAAAGTTTGACTTAAAGAATACATTGACTCACTACCCTCCTGATGCTTACTGGACGAGGCAATAGCGAAAGGGGGTGTAAAGCTTCTTCTTACCAGTTCTGTAGGATTACACAATCGCGAATGTCTACGCGCACTAGGGCTACCCGAACTATCCCTCCGGTTTTGATTACGCGTATTACGCGTACTACGTGAACGACTCCGACTCCGATAAGAGGCTGCCGAATCGGCCCTTTGTCGATCTGCGGATTTTCGGGACCGATGCATCGCGGAACGAAAAAGTCAAGACAAGCGTAATACGGCCAAAGACACTAGATTACTTATCCCACTTCTGATGTTATCAACTCCATTAGTAAATTATAAAATAAAATAACGGAGTTGATAACACCTCCAACTTTTTTTTTTTTTTTATAGCTGCATCATTTAATTTGTGGGGTTTATGGAATTTTCAAATGATGACTTATCTTTTTGCATACCAAAAATCTCTCATTTCTGTAGCTAGATATTCACCTTCATCGTCATAGAATACATTGAAAATCTATAAATTGAAATGTGCCCCACTTTCAGCAACTGAATCTTGAAACAGAAAATAATATGACTTATGACTCATCAAATATGTTACACAATAGTAAGTAAATTCATGCACAAACAGTACAATGTTTTTGAAATGGAAGTCGCGCTTGTTTATGCACGCTCCACATAAATACTCATTGTATAACCTGATCGATTTGCGCCTTAAGTCCTCGATCTCAATTTTTTTTTTTTATAATAATTTAATAATTTAAACCTCACCAATGTGGACCAAACGTTCAAACCACAATTGATAATTTTTTATTTTTTATTTAATCGTCACTATTTGCTTGAATAATAGTGTTTTTTTTTTTTTAAATTTCCAATAACAGTGAGTTCAAGAGCAATTATTATTAAAGTGTTCAAAGACTTACCCATAAATTATAAGTTTACCGCCCTTGTAAATACTAACACTTTTTTTTTTTTTTAGCAATAGGCATACTAGCCCTTTGCATTTTTCTTACAGACAGCAAATTGTAAGGAACCTCTCTGGACAGTCCAGCCTATACTAAAGACTTTCCTGAATGCCCATATTACTGGGAATACTAATTCTGCCTTTTTGGTTGCTGTTATAAGGGTTCCATTTTTTTTTTTGTTTATTGATGGAATTGTTTTGTTTCACTTTTTTTATTGTGTTTCAGAGACTTGATTTTTTTTTTCGAAATTGCGTCTTTTAAAATCGATTTTAAAATATCCTCAACGATAATTATTTCTAAATTGCTGAGCTCTGATGTTCTTATCTAAGTTCAAGCTCTGTTAGCATGAAGCCTTTTGTTTCTTGTTAATTATCGATATTCAATATATTTATTATATCGAACACAGCGTGGAAAGCAGAGCGTGTGAACTCATAGAAATAACTATACGAACTGACTCAACATCAAGACAAAGAATTACAAAACCCTTTCTTAAGTAAACGATTTCTCATCTGTTTACCTTACATATAAAAACTATTATAAACACATTCAGTCATCCATAGCTGCGATATAAATTAGCAAAGTATAGGCTAAGGGCGTTTTCACACGGCGCTATATATCGCGAGCAATAATTGGTCGCTATATCGCGGTGCACCAAAATTGTGGGTTTTTAAATGAACCGCTTTCACACGACGGCCATAACATAAAATTGATGGTAGCAATAGCGCTATATCGCATTTACACGCAATATGTTCTACAGATATCGCGCAATATTTTATCGTTGCGATTTAACTCGTCTGTGCAAGTATATGCCTGTCTTCACACGCAAAACTATAAATCGCTCAGACTTCAGTCGACAACGTTGCAAGATGGCGAAAAGGGTTCAGTACGCGTTTGATCCTCTGGACCTAATTGAATTAATTGAACAAAGACCATACATCTGGGACAAAACAACTGAGGAATATAAGGATAAAATTAAACGGGGGAAAGCTTGGATGGAAATTTACACGTTTATAATGGACTGAACGGCAACATCGCGAATTTAATCAAATTAATGGCTTTTCAATGGTAGCGCGATAATCGCTCTGTGTGAAAGCTGTTTACCGAAATCGCCAGAAATAAATGGTATCGCGTATGGTATCGTGTGAAAACGTACTAATAATCAAAGTTTAATTTATTAATTTTTGTTTCACTGATATGAATATCAGTTTATCCAACAGTCAACCTATTCGTGTGAGACCAGATTATAATAAAATCCAACAAAAATTTCCCAACTGATTCACAGATCTTCCAAAATAAAAATCAGACAAATGTATTTGAACTAGGACAAAACAAAAATTTTCCCAGACCTACCCCAATGTCTACAACGACAAGACAAACCTATTTTGCTACCAATGCACCACAAACTTCTGGTAATAAAGTTACGCAGCCACGCAACTTTCTTTCAGAAGAGCTATATAATACAAATATGACTAACATCACTGACCTTTCTTACACCGAAAATGATCAAGAATCATATTACTACGAGGCCGAAGTTGACCCTCAACAAAGTTATTGTTATCCTTGAGAAGAACCACCTATTAAAATATTATTTTTCCAAATCATAACTTTTTAATAAAACTTTTACGTAATAAAAGTAAATATTGCAACCATGTAATGCGCCCTCAAGTTTAGGTTTTTCGAAACGGGACGTGCCGCAACAGAGTACCGGAGCGAAGAGGAGACATAAGAAAATAGGCAATTAGGCTTCAGAAGGGAGGAGGCTTTCAGAATGGAGACGACAGGACTCACTGGCCTGGCCCCTTAGAAAACGTGTTGCGCGTCTGTAATTATTCATTTTTCAATTTTCATTCCTATTTTGCATTAAAATTAATTGTTCAATCAAAGTTATTAGTGTGTGTGCAAGGAACTTACAGGTTAGTGGATTAATTATTATTTTGTTTTTGAGAGTTCAATTTATGCAAGTTCCTATTATTTTGTTAATTTTTATGCATTTTTGTTTGTTTATTTCATTTTTTATAACATGTGCATTGTTTATGTATTTAACCAGAATCGTTTCATGCTGTAAACAACACAGCTAAAGAGTAAATTAAAAACCTAAGAAATTATGTGCTCTCTTTTGTGCTGAGATTTTGATTTTTGGATTCAGAGCGGGCATTAGAGATTTGTTGAATTTACTAACATTTTCCTACCCCGACAAGAGAATATCCTAGCACATTTAGAAAAATCAATCTAGAGATATTGGCTCAAAAACAACTATAGCCGTGAGATTTCCGTAACAAGGGACCTCGGTACCCGCCACAGATGGGTTAACTAACCAAAAACTCTTCAGTATTGTGTGTGTAATTGAAATTTTAGCACAAGAACAGGGGCGGTACCTAGTTTCAGCTTTTATTGAATTATTGATTCACAATTATTATTGAAATTACACAGTATGTTTCGATTTTTGAGGAATGTAGATCGAGGGTTTCTTTGCCGTGCTCTTTCCCCTCTGAGTTCAGGATGAGAACGGTACGTTTTTCTTTGAAAATAAAGGAGGCGTTTCACAAATTTTGCGTTTCTTTTACATATTACAGCTTCCCTTAAATTTCCCGAATATTTGCTATGTCGGGCGCATGTCCAGTAAGTAAAATTGAGTAAGTTTCCACAACGTAGGTCCTTTTTGTTTCTCATTTCATTTTTCAGAAGATTTGTTGTTTAAAAGGTAATTAAAATTCTCATCGTTCAATCTTTCTGAACGAACCTGGGTATGTTATACTACATCCTGATAATTATACCGATTCAAACAATGAATTCGAAACCACTGAACTCGTAGAATATGACACAGCTGGTACTTCGAAACAATCAAATTTTCAGGAAATCCAACCAACAAATTCAATAACGTCAACGCAAGTGAACTATTTTATATCGTCTTTCCAGAATGCAATTTCAAATTTCTCGTAGATAGTGGCTCCACCAAGTTGTTCATAGACCTCGACTTATCCCAAAATTTCTTTCCGAATCGCATAAGCTACGAGCCATTCATCGTTTCAACTGTTTTCCAACAATCAGCGCATCAATACAGTGCCCAAATTCCCGCTTCAAAATTTTTTTATCTACTTAATAGGAAACCTTTGAAATTTTATTTATTTGAATTTCATAACACCTTTGACGGCCTTATAAGACTTGATAATCTTAAAATGTGGCAAGCTTACATAAACTATGAAACAGGATTCTTAGTAACTCCATTTGAAAAAATCAAGCTACAATTCCAAAGAACGAACATGAACCAAGTATATAATATCACTCTCTGACCACGTACCAAACAGCTAGTGGAAATCAAAACCAGCATACATGATGGCGAAGTTATAATTCCATATCACAAAATGCTTAATTGTGAGATTCCGAATTTCCTAAGCATTGCTAAAAATGGATACGCTTTAACCACAATCTTAAGCAATACATGTTAGCCAATAATATTAGATCTTTCACGACCAGTTGAAGTGGAACCATTTAATAGAGAAAAAATAGAACAAATTGATTTAAATAATTATTATTGCATCAAATTGCGATACTGATAATTTTGATTATACTCAAATTCGCACAGATCACCTTAACTCAGAAGAGAGAGCCAAAAT